GAAGCTGTATGCCGGCTCCCTCGGCCAGTAAAGCGAGATGAGCGCCGCAACCCCAGAGTAGGTCACGACTGGACCTAATGGTCAGGGGTCCCTTTACCTTTGCCTTTATTTATTTGTTTATTTGTTTGTTTATTTATACCCCACCCATCTGACTGGGTTGCCCCAGCCATTCTGGGTGGCTTCCAACATATATAAAAACTTAATAAAACATTAGACTTTTTTTTAAAAAAAATCCCTATAGGGCTGTCTTCAGATGTCTTCTAAAGGTTGGTTAGTTACTTATCTCCTTGGCTTGGGGCATGACTCCATACCCTCCAACATTTCTCCGATGAAAACAGGGACGTCCTAAGGAAAAGTGGAACATTCAGGGATCAAATCAGAAACCAGGACGGTTTCTGTGAATCTGGGACTGTCCCTGGAAAATAGGGACATTTAGAGGGTCTGGAGGCAATCAGAAAGAAGTATGTGCCTTGTGCCATGTGTGCATTTCCTCTTTCTCTCACCACTGAGTCAACAATCTGCCAAAAATCTGGGAATGTGGGGGGGAGATGTGATTCCTGAGGCAGGTTAGCTGGCTCATGGAGCCTTTTTTGGTAGTGGTACCTCATCCATGGAAATCACTCCTCCCATCAACTTGCCTGTCGCCTGATGGTCATTAGGTCCAGTCGCAAATGACTCTGGGGTTGCAGCGCTCATCTCGCTTTACTGGCCAAGGGAGCCAGTGTACAGCTTCTGGGTCATGTGGCCAGCATGACTAAGCCGCTTCTGGCGAAACCAAAGCAGCGCACAGAAACGGCATTTATCTTCCCACCGGAGCGGTACCTATTTATCTACTTGCACTTTGATGTGCTTTCGAACTGCTAGGTTGGCAGAAGCCTGATGGTCTTTAGACCCTAGTCAAAAATAGTTTGGTCTCCCATGGACTTCCAGCCGTTTCTGAAATCACTTCTGGGTTATTCTTGAGCTGTTTTTCCTGTTGCTGGCAAATGCTCCCATTTTTTTTCCTGGTTCACTGTTATTGTTGCTGCACTGTTAGCTGTTTTAAAATATATGTTGTAAGCCCCCATTAAAATGTTTTATTGGAAGGCAGGGTGCAAATATTTTAAATAGTCAAAACAAAACAAAACAAAAAGGTGGATTTTAAGACTGAGCAGCCCCACTGATTTTCAGACTAAAGAGAATAGAGTTGGATGATAGTTGACTGAAGTTTTGAAAATGGTTCTCAGAAGGAGGGAGCCCTTCCTTTCTCTTTGGGTGATACAGAAGGTGAATCTTGAGGAGCTGACATTTTTTAAATACATAAATTTGTATGCCAGCCTATACCCATAGATCTCAGGGCGGTTCATAACATAAAATTTCTCTAGGTCTCCTGCCCCTCTCAATTTATTTTACAATTTAAGGTCTCCCCTCCTTTTTGTGAGGGGGAGAAAACTAGTTGGTTGGCAGAGGAGAGAGGAGAGTTTTTCCTGCTTTTTTGTCCATATTTGAATTGCTTTGCGGGCGAAGGTGTTTTGCAACACAGTGAAGAGGGGGCAGATTCTGACTACTACTACTAATAATAATAATATTTTATTTATATCCCACCCTCCCCAGCCGAAGTCGGGCTCAGGGCGGCTAACAACAGACTACCACCAGTTTTGCTTCTATGCAGTGGATATTTTGTGGTACCCAGGACACTTTTTAAAATCTCCAAATCTGCAGTGGGCCCCACAAAGGTTGTGGACCTCCAATCTGAGTATTTTGGTTCAGTATGGATTGGAGAGGTCAGAGGGGATTCTCTGATGGTCAGGCTCATAGGATGGTCTCACTGGACTTCACATCCTCTAGAAAACGAACAACGTTCACACCCTTCAGGGAATCTCACAGATTTTCGATACAATCTGTTGGGTCCCTGATGGTCTTTTGTCATTCTTCTAGAACTCTCTAGTTTCACTGTTGAATAGTCATAGTTCAAAATGTATTGGGATTTAAGGGACCTGTTATTCCATTTACAACATATAAATCTGCTCCCTCAAATACTTCAGAAATAGAAACAGATTTCAGGCCTCAAAAAGAACCATTGAATTTAAGAAATCCAGACTAGCTCATAAAAGGTAAGGAGCAAAAGTGACATTGCTAGTATTGACTTTGCTGTTTTGACAGGTGGATTCGGAGATGAAGTCAGAGACAATATTCAGACTGAGGATCTTGAAAAATGGGAAATGCGGTTGATGGGGAAAAGAGGAAGATAGAAAAGGCCAGAAAGCAGCACTTGATTCCAGACATACAAGAGATCTCAAGATGGACGAGTCTCCTGCCATCAGTGACACACAAAGAAGGAATCCCAGCACAGACACAATGAACACAAGCACAGAAGAAAGGACTGAATCTGTTTTTTCAACTTCCATACTGGAAAAAACGATTTCCCCCTCACCCGACATCAGCAGTGCAACTGAGTACACCATCTCAGAGTCCACTGATGCCAGCAATGTCCCAGGGTTTACAAGCACACCACCAGAAGAAACAACTTTTCTCCTCAGCTGTCACCAGCAGCACAACCGAAGACATCACCTCAGAGTCTACTGATGTCAACACCGTATCAACTTTTACAAGCGTGGCACCAGAGGACACAACTTTTTCCTCACCAGTCACCAGTAGTGCAACTGAGAACATCACCCCAGAGTCCACAGATGTCAGCACCATCTCAACTTTCACAAGCATGGCACCAGAGGACACAACTTTCTCCTCAGCAGTCACCAGCAGCACAACTGAGAACGTCACCCCAGCGTCCACTGATGCCAGCACCGTCTCAGCTTTCACAAGCGTGGCACCAGAGGACACAACTTTTTCCTCACCAGTCACGAGTAGTGCAACCGAAGACATCACTTCAGAGTCCACTGATGCCAGCACCATCTCAGCTTTCACAAGCGTGGCACCAGAGGACACAACTTTTTCCTCACCAGTCACCAGTAGTGCAACCAAAGACATCACTTCAGAGTCCACTGATGCCAGCACCATCTCAACTTTCACAAGCGTTGCACCAGAGGACACAACTTTTTCCTCACCAGTCACCAGCAGTGCAACCGAAGACATCACTTCAGAGTCCACTGATGCCAGCACCATCTCAGCTTTCACAAGCGTGGCACCAGAGGACACAACTTTTTCCTCACCAGTCACGAGTAGTGCAACCGAAGACATCACTTCAGAGTCCACTGATGCCAGCACCACCTCAACTTTTACAAGTGTGGCACCAGAGGACACAACTTTTTCCTCACCAGTCACCAGCAGCGCAACTGAGCACGTCACCTCAGAGTCCACTGATGCCAGCACCATCTCAACTTTCACAAGCATGGCACCAGAGGACACAACTTTTTCCTCACCAGTCACCAGCAGCGCAACTGAAGACATCACCTCAGAGTCCACTGATGCCAGCACCCTCTCAGCTTTCACAAGCGTGGCACCAGAGGACACAACTTTTTCCTCACCAGTCACCAGTAGTGCAACCGAAGACATCACTTCAGAGTCCACTGATGCCAGCACCATCTCAGCTTTCACAAGCGTGGCACCAGAGGACACAACTTTTTCCTCACCAGTCACGAGTAGTGCAACCGAAGACATCACTTCAGAGTCCACTGATGCCAGCACCATCTCAGCTTTCACAAGCGTGGCACCAGAGGACACAACTTTTTCCTCACCAGTCACCAGTAGTGCAACCAAAGACATCACTTCAGAGTCCACTGATGCCAGCACCATCTCAACTTTCACAAGTGTGGCACCAGAGGACACAACTTTTTTCTCACTAGTCACCAGCAGTGCAACTGAGAACGTCACCCCAGAGTCCACTGATGCCAGCACCATCTCAGCTTTCACAAGCATGGCACCAGAGGACACAACTTTTTCCTCACCAGTCACCAGTAGTGCAACCGAAGACATCACTTCAGAGTCCACTGATGCCAGCACCATCTCAGCTTTCACGAGCGTGGCACCAGAGGACACAACTTTTTCTTCACCTGACACACAAAGCACAACTGAATTCATCACCTCAGAGTCCACTGATGTGAACACCGTATCAACTTTTACAAGCGTGGCACCAGAGGACACAACTTTTTCCTCACTAGTCACCAGTAGTGCAACTGAGAACATCACCCCAGAGTCCACTGATACCAGCACCATCTCAACTTTCACAAGCGTGGCACCAGAGGACACAACTTTTTCTTCACCTGACACACAAAGCACAACTGAATTCATCACCTCAGAGTCCACTGATGTGAACACCGTATCAACTTTTACAAGCGTGGCACCAGAGGACACAACTTTTTCCTCACCAGTCACCAGCAGCACAACTGAGAACGTCACCCCAGAGTCCACTGATGCCAGCACCATCTCAGCTTTCACAAGCGTGGCACCAGAGGACACAACTTTTTCCTCACCAGTCACCAGCAGTGCAACCGAAGACATCACTTCAGAGTCCACTGATGCCAGCACCATCTCAACTTTCACAAGCGTGGCACCAGAGGACACAACTTTTTCCTCACCAGTCACCAGCAGTGCAATCGAAGACATCACTTCAGAGTCCACTGATGCCAGCACCATCTCAACTTTCACAAGCTTGGCACCAGAGGACACAACTTTTTCCTCACCAGTCACCAGTAGTGCAACCGAAGACATCACTTCAGAGTCCACTGATGCCAGCACCATCTCAACTTTCACAAGCTTGGCACCAGAGGACACAACTTTTTCCTCACCAGTCACCAGCAGCACAACTGAGAACGTCACCCCAGAGTCCACTGATGCCAGCACCATCTCAGCTTTCACAAGCGTGGCACCAGAGGACACAACTGTCTCCTCACCAGTCACCAGCAGCACAACCAAAGACATCACCTCAGAGTCCACTGATGCCAACACCGTATCAACCTTTACAAGCGTAGCACTAGAGGACACAACTTTCTCCTCACCAGTCACCAGCAGCACAACTGAGAACGTCACCCCAGAGTCCACTGATGCCAGCACCTTCTTAACTTTCACAAGCATGGCACCAGAGGATACAAACTTTTTCCTCTACAGTCACCAGCAGCGCAGCAGAGAACGTCACCTCAGAGTCCTCAACATATATTACCTCCACCACAACAATTGTCATCAGTAATTCAACAGTAGTTAGTGACAAGACAACACCAGAAGTTAGCACTATTATTTCTACCACATCTCCTCCTGCAACACCCACGATCCCAGATACCCAGAGCAGCCACACAACTACTCCTCAAGGTAAGAATCACTTCTTCTTTGTGAATACTGTATTTTTAAGAGGGTTGTTTTTGCTCCGTCTCCAAAACTGGAACATCAAGATAGCTTCTGAACTGGGTTGCATGGACCGAATCATGAGGGTCCCTCTTTGGATTCCACTTATCAGGCCCCTAGAGGCATTCAGGCGTCTTCCTTTAACACGGTTTCTACCCAAAGAATGAGTGTGTCCTGAATTTTCTTCCTTTCTTGAGGGACACATGCACCTCCTCCGTATCTCCCTCTGTGCAGATCCAATTGGGATTTCTTTCATAATGGGGCAGCCTCGTGTAGACATGCCTCTTTCCCCCACCTTCCTCCACAGAATAATTTTCTTCTTCTTCCTTGTATCCCCCGTCGCCAATCTTCAATACCATTTCCTGTCTTGGTGGAGCCAAGTATGGCCTCAATCTCTGCCTCTGTTATCCCAGGGGCTTGAGTGGAGATGCCATAGGTCGGGCTCTTCCATCCATCTGCTGGCTTTGGAGATCAAAGGCTATGTGCCCACGAGCTTTGTCCCTAGCTCTACCCCAAAGCCAATGTGGGACTTGTGTCATGCTCAGCCAATAAGAATGCTCAACTCAGACATCCTTGAAAGGGGGTTGGGAAAATCCATGGAGGAGAAAAGACTATCAGTGGCAACTAGTCATGCAAGCTCAACAATTGGATGCAACTTGCCTCTTAGTACCAGTTGCAGAACAAAAGATTGCCAGACTAACAACAACAACAACAGCAATAATAATAATTTATTATTTATACCCCACACTCTCCAGTGGGAGAGAGACCCCAGGAGGGTTTAAAACAGGCAAAGTTAAACAGCAGTATGGAAACAAACTTGAAAAAGAAGTTGCTGAAGTACAACATATTACAAAACTGAAAACTATGGAGAGACCTGGTCTGAATAGAGATACAGTGATACCTCGGGTTAAGTACTTACAGTAATTCGTTCCGGAGGTCCATTCTTAAACTGAAACTGTTCTTAACGTGAAGCACCACTTTAGCTAATGGAGCCTCCTGCTGCCGCCGTGCTGCCGGAGCACGATTTCTGTTCTTATCCTGAAGCAAAGTTCCTAACCTGAAGCACTATTTCTGGGTTAGCAGAGTCTGTAACCTGAAGCGCATGTAACCTGAAGCGTATGTAACCCAAGGCACCACTGTATTGGATTCTTGTCTCATTACATATGCTAAAGCGATTTTTGGTCATCTGCATACTATCCCTTGCTTCTTCCTGTAGAACTAATTGCACTCGTTAACAGTCGTCAACAGGTTTACCATACCCATTGAGTCAATCACCCATCTCCTACTACCCTTCTGAGAAAAAACCCTCTCCACCCTCTCACTATATATAAAGGTCTGGTGACTTCTGTTTCAGTGTATCTGAAGAAGTGTGCATGCACATTAAACCTTATACCCAGAACAAACTTAGTTTGCCTCTAAGGTGCTACTGGACATTTTTTTAAATTTTTATTTATTTATATCAATAGCAGTATGGTGTGGGGTTGTAGGTTATTAGATCCCTTTTGATATCCTGTTTAGTTTGCGCGCGCCCCATCTCCCCTTCTGGCAATGAACAGACCACACACTGTTAAGTACATTTAAAATGCTTTACTTACAAAATCAAAATGGCTTGATTCATGCTTGCATGGTGCAAAACACACACTCTTGTTTCAAACATGTGGTCTGAGCAAGTTCAGACACCCCTGTCCTGATTAGTTACATGGCTGGAACAGAGTGAGAGAAAGGAAGAGAAGCAACTTCGCTTCCTCCCTCACGGAGGTAACGGGGTGTGACCTAGATGAGTCTAGGAGCAGACCTCTCTGGTCTTAACCCCTCCATGCACTAACTAGCCCTCCTGCGTAGTTTGACTGCAATCCCCCACACATTCTACTCCCCCATCCTTTAAGCTTGCTTTCCGTGACACGGTGCCCCTCCTGACGTTTTGCACTGCAGCTCCTATCATCCCTGCCCATTGGACTTGGTAAAGCTGGCTAGGGTTGATGGGAGTTGGAGTCCACCACATATGGAGGGCGCCAGGTTGGGGTATACAGTGGTGCCCCGCAAGACGAATGCCTCACAAAACGAAAAACGCGCAAGACGAAAGGGTTTTTCGGTTTTTGCGTCGCTTCGCAAGACGATTTTCCCTATGGGCTTGCTTCGCAAGACGAAATGTCTTGCGAGTTCTTGCGAGTTTGTTTCCTTTTTCTTAAAGCCGCTAAGCCGCTAATAGCCATGCTTCGCAAGACGAAAAAACCGCAAGACGAAGAGACTCGAGGAACGGATTAATTTCGTCTTGCGAGGCACCACTGTACTGATTTAAGCTGTGAGGGGCAGTTCCCCCTGTCATTTTAAGGGATTCTATTGTAGTAGGTATGGGACACGGGTGGCGCTGTGGGTAAAAGCCTCAGCGCCTAGGGCTTGCCGATCGAAAGGTCGGTGGTTCGAATCCCCGCGGCGGGGTGCGCTCCCGTTGTTCGGTCCCAGCGCCTGCCAACCTAGCAGTTCGAAAGCACTCCCGGGTGCAAATAGATAAATAGGGACCGCTTACTAGCGGGAAGGTAAACGGCGTTTCCGTGTGCTGCGCTGGCTCACCAGAGCAGCGATGTCACGCTGGCCACGTGACCCGGAAGTGTCTCCGGACAGCGCTGGCCCCCGGCCTCTTGAGTGAGATGGGCGCACAACCCTAGAGTCTGGCAAGACTGGCCCGTACGGGCAGGGGTACCTTTACCTTTACCTTATTGTAGTAGGTGGGGTTTACTTCCCAGCATTTCTTGTTTACAGAGACTGCTGCTTCTCTCTTCCAGCAAACGAATGTGAAAATGGAGGAACATACGATGGTGTTAAGTGTCTGTGCCTTGACAATTTATTCTATGGGCCTCGGTGTGAATTTGCTGCTGATGAGATCGATTCGGCTACATGTAAGTAGAAGCGAGAGCTGCCTGACCCTATTCTTCCAGTCTAGTAGAAACTCCTGCCCTCTGCAGTGGCTTTTGTATTGAGAAAAACCAGGGCATCAGCACACCCTCCAACACCCCTCAGATGAAAACAGGGACGTTTCTCACTCCCTGCCAACTGACCCTCCTCGGCCCCCCATATTTTTTTTGCCCCCCTCCCCAGAGCATATTCTATCAGAAGAAGGGCGAGTGCCACAACCACATAGCTAAAGGTAAAGGACCCCTGGGTGGTTTAGTTCAGTCAAAGGCAACTATGGGGTTGTGGCGCTCATCTTGCTTTCAGGTCGAGGGAGCCGGCGTTTGTCCACAGACAGCTTTCTGGCTCATGTGGCCAGCATGACTGAACCACTTCTGGCACAACGGGACACCGTGACGGAAACCAGAGCGCACAGAAACGCCGTTTACCTTCCCGCCAGAGCGGTACCTATTTATCTACTTGCACTGGCGTGCTTTCGAACTGCTAGGTTGGCAGGAGCTGGGACAGAGCAATGGGAGCTCACCCCGTCGTGGGGATTTGAATTGCTGCCTTCTGATCAGCAAGCCCAAGAGGCTCAGTGGTTTAGACCATGACATCAATGGGAAACAGCACATATGCCCTCCTCCATCCTGAAAAAAACCTTAATCCCTATTTTATTTTATTTTTTGGTACATTTACAAAGGGACACAGGTGGCACTGTGGGTTAAACCACAGAGCCTAGGACTTACCGATGAGAAGGTCAGCGGTTCAAATCCCCGCAACGGGGTGAGCTCCCGTTGCTCAGTCCCTGCTCCTGCCAACCTAGCAGTTTGAAAGCATGGGAAGGTAAATGGCGTTTCCGTGCACTGCTTTGGTTCGCCAGAAGCGGCTTAGTCATGCTGCCCACATGACCCAGAAGCTGTGCGCCGGCTCCCTCGGCCAATAAAACGAGATGAGCGCTGCAACCCCAGAGTCGGTCATGACTGGACCTAATGGTCAGGGGTCCCTTTACCTTTACCTTTACAAAAAGAAAAACACACACCAATACATCAGTTTTAGAAAAGGGCAAGATTAGACGCAGATGCACAAAGCACTTTTTTAAATAAAAAAATACCAAGACTCCTTGTGCTCTGCTCCCCCTTTCATATCGTCCAGGGCAGCCCTACCCTCTGCCTGCACCTCAGAGCTGGTGCATCACATGGGGCTGGACCTTGGATGGAGCAGCAAGGAGATGCCCCCTTGCCGCTGCCACTTGGGACAAGTGCCAGCTCATCTTCCTCCCCAAGCTCAGCAGCAGCTGCACTAGCAGGGGAAATAGGGACATTCTGGGATCAAATCAGAAGCTGATACGGTTTTCGTAATTCCGGGACCATTCCTGGAAAATGGGGACATTTGGAGGGTATGCATCAGGTGGTCCTCCTATCCCATGGACGCGAGCTGACCAGTTCTAGAGTAGACATGTTTTTAACCACATGGCTAGAAGCCCTCCCAAAAAATGATGTCTCTACTCTAAAAAGAAGAGACATCACCTTGCCAACAAAGGTCCGTATAGTAAAAGCCATGGTTTTCCCAGTAGTGATGTATGGAAGTGAGAGCTGGACCATAAAGAAGGCTGATCGCTGAAGAATTGATGCTTTTGAATTATGGTGCTGGAGGAGACTCTTGAGAGTCCCATGGACTGCAAGAAGATCAAACCTCTCCATTCTGAAGGAAATCAGCCCTGAGTGCTCACTGGAAGGACAGATCCTGAAGCTGAGGCTCCAATACTTTGACCCCCTCATAAGAAGAGAAGACTCCCTGGAAAAGACCCTGATGTTGGGAAAGATGGAGGGCACAAGGAGAAGGGGAGACAGAGGATGAGATGGTTGGATGGTGTTCTTGAAGCTACCAGCATGAATTTGATCAAACTGCGGGAGGCAGAGGAGGACAGAAGTGCCTGGCGTGCTCTGGTCCAGGGGGTCACGAAGAGTCGGACACGACTAAACGACAAAGAAGCCCCCAAGATGGGACTGTAAGATGCTGGCAAAAGCTTCTTCACTCTAGGAGGACCAATGTACACAATGTTAAAGGTCAGGCTTTGGAAGCTGCTCAGAAGCTGCTGGATCGAACGAGTGAAGACATGCCCAGCTTTGACCAATAAACTGGAAGCGAGCTTGCAGGTTATGTGGGAACGTTGTGGGTAACAGGAGAGGATATATTGATTCATATTATCCTTCCTGACTTGCGCTAGCAAGTTTCTTTAAACAGCAGAGTGTGTTTCCCCTTTACGCAGCAAGAAGCTGGTTGCAGACTTGTGTGAGTCTCTTAAGATAATAAGCAATTCAATCTGGCTTGCCCAGATTGAAATACGTTCTATTATTCCTGGTAAGACTCCTTTGATTCCTCTTAAAAGAATAAAGACACAATAGTCTTATTCATAAGTAACAAAAAGTAGTTTTACTCATGATCACAGTGTGATCCCTGAATGCAGGCTTTAGGCTTAAAGTTACAAATATGTACAAACAGGTATACCCCATATGGAAGATAACCCAGGGACTTCTGGCTAAGAGATAGCAGTGCAGTCCCGGTGAAGCAGAAAGCAGGCAGGACGAAAAATAAGAGAGGTGGCTATGTGGCTTGGCCTTTTACCAGGTCTGGAAAGGTCGCGCCCACCTAACTAGTCACATGCAAAAGGAAGGATGCTCCAGCCAGGTGTAACAGGAAGTTCAACTGGCTGGACCAACATTCCCCACGCATGTTCACTCTAGGCAAACAGGAAATGTTGTACTTGACTGCTCCAGAGGATTACATCCCACAAGTTACACAGACCTTGTCTTCAGCAGTTTAAGTAGAAATAATATTTTTTTAAAAAAAAATCTAAGCTGTTGGCTGGTGTGAAGAACCTGCTGCTCTTGCTACCGGCACAGGGACTGCCTTTCGAGGTTTGACAGCTACTTTGCTAGGAAGCTCCTGGTCCCTGCTGCTAATAATGGGTCTCTCTCTTTCTCTCCGCTTTAGTAAACGTGCCCGTGGAATTTGCTGCCAAGGTGAAGATCACCAACAGGGGGTACCTAAAGGAATACGACGACACAAACTCAGAAGAGTTTAAAAACCTGGAGGCAGAATTTAAGAAGGAGGTAAGCATAAGAGCATCTTCTCTTGCCACTCTCACCTGAAAAGGTCTTTCTCTTTGTTTATGAAGATATTTCTGTTTCATGCCTTTGTTTATGAAGATATTCTGTGTTTCCCCCCCCCACCCCCGACATTATAGATGGGACAACTTTACAAGAATGTGGACGGATACCGTGATGTAGTGATACTGAGCGTGAAGTGAGTACCTGAGGCAGAGACCAGCTTGCAAGAGATATATAGTACAGCTGTGGGGTGGGTGGTGCTGTGGGTTAAACCACAGAGCCTAGGACATGCCGATCAGAAGGTTGGCGGTTCGAATCCCCATGACGGGGTGAGCTCCCATTGCTAGGTCCCTGCTCCTGCCTACCTAGCAGTTCGGAAGCACGTCAAACTGCAAGTAGATAAACAGGTACCGCTCCAGCGGGAAGGTAAAGGGCCTTTCCGTGCGCTGCTCTGGTTCGCCAGAAGCGGCTTAGTCATGCTGGCCACATGACCCAGAAGCTGTACGCCAGCTCCCTCGGCCAGTAAATGCAGCCTTATTTTAAAAGTAGCCCAGAGATCAAGGCTATAAGGGGAGGGCAACATAAGGGTCAGACTGAGTCCAAACCAAAGGCCAGGCGGAACAGCTCTGTCTTGCAGGCCCTGCGGAAAGATGTCAAGTCCCGCAGCGCCCTAGTCTCTTGTGACAGAGCGTTCCACCAAGACGGGGCCAGTACTGAAAATGCCCTGGCCCTAGTTGAGATCAATCTAACCACCTTGCAACTTGGGACCTCCAAAATGTTGTCATTTGTGGACATTAAGGTCCTCCACGGGGCATACCAGGAGAGGCGGTCCCGTCGGTACGTGGGTCCTAGGCTGCATAGGGCTTTAAAGGTCAAAACCAGCACCTTAAACCTGACCCTGTACTCCACCGGGAGCCAGTGCAGCTGGTATAGCACTGGATGAATGTTGGGAGGTTGGTACCTATAATTCCTTTAGAAAATATATATATTTATTAACCGACCAATCAAATCAAATCAAATCACATCACATAAATTCCAAATTACAAAGCCGAATTTTTAATTTTTGTTGGGGGTACCCATATTTCAAGTTCCGAAGGGGATCCAATCATCTTCTTGCTGCTGCTTTAATGTCCACAAATCTGTCCAAATAATGTTCACAATTCTATCCAATCCTTTCTTGTTGTTTCCACATCTCATCTTGTTGTTTTCATATATGTTTCCTTTCTCTTTGTGACCTCTGATGGTCTCTACAAGTGGGTTAAGACAAATTGTAATCCTGTGTGGATTTTTCCATTCGTCCAAGAGCTATATCCAGACGGTTTCCGTATATCATCGCTTCCATAAACAAAAGCACTCTTACCGTCATTAATCTTCACAGGTCTGTCGCCTTTCTTAGTCCTCTGAGGAGGTTCGCCAGGAATCCAGTATGAAAACAAATCCATTCCTCCTCCCGGTCGTGAATCTTTCGACAGAACCTGACAACATGGCGACTCTGTTTTTATTGCTGCGTCATTCCAAAAGCTCTTTTCTTTTCTCGATCTCCATAAAGCAGACTTTTGGTTAGAATTCATTTCCACACAGTCTTAAATCATCCTGCTTAGGTCAGTTAAACGATGGTTCTGATTTGAGGGGGGGTTATTGGTTAATCACATAGAAGAAAAGGAAAAAAGTCCCCCCCATCCAGTCCCGCTGCCGACATACCAAGCCTTTGATGTATCTTCTTCATGATATATTCCTGTTGATCCAATCCGTCGCTCTTCTTTCACAGAGGTCCCTTCAATTAGCAGTCTTCACTCCCCATTCTTCACTTGAAATATGTGCATTTGCTTCTTTTCTAATTGTTTATTTCAAATTGCTGCAGCTAGTGCGCGATCAGAGGCAGTGTCCACGAGAGCCGGAGTCCACACAAGGGCATTCTGCCTAGTGCCCTCACCCCCTTCTTTTGAGTCCGGGGGTGATTTATGGGCACAGCAGGCAACGGCAGTGTTCACCATTCCCTTGGGGCAAAAAGGGAGGCTGCATACTCCCATAACAGCCTCTTAATTACCTCATGTGGGCCGGAGAGATGGTATTGTTGGCCATCTTCCAATGCACCCCTAGTGGCCCCCCGTGGTACCTATAATTCCTAATAGAAAAGCTTCTGGTTTTTTAACAAAAGTTATTTTAAACATTTTTTTTAAGAAGGAAATCTTTCTATCTGGCAGCACCTATGCTTTGGAACTCCCTGCCTCTTGATATTAGTCAGGCGTATTTGTTGCACTACCTGCTAAACCCCCTTTTTAGTTCAACAAGCCAATCTGGACATATAATTCAGTTATGCATACTTTAAAAAAATCTATCGATTTTATCTATATATTATTGATAATCCTAGAATTGTAGAGTTGTAGAGTTGGAACGGACCCTGCGTGTTGTCTGCTCCAACCCCCTGCAATGCAGAAGTCTTCCAAACAATGTGGAGCCATAGCTGTCAACCGTCCCTTATTTGGCGGGAAAGTCCCTTATCCCAGTGCCGTGTCCGGCTGCTGTCCCTTATTGATGATGTCCCTTAAATTTCCCGGGTTTCAAAGGAAGCAGTTCCTCTCCCTCCCTCCCTGCCGGCCAGGGAGGCTCCAACTGTGTTGCTTGGCTGCGTTGCTCACCCAATAAGGAGTCTAAGAACAACTGGGGGGTGGAGCTTGCATGCCTTGTGCCGATCAAATCGGCCGCGTTGCCTGGGGACTCACCTTTGCTCAGCGCTTCCCAGCGGAGAGGTGATGGTGGTTTTCCTTGCTGCATCCCCTTTGCCGGGTTGCTGCGCTGTGGGAACCACCGCTTATGCTTCATTTGGCTGCTGGCTGGGCTTTCAGCCTTTGGCTCGGAAGGGCTCAGAAGTTGAACATACCTGTGTTCGAAAAATCCCTTATTTGGGGGGCCGATCCCTTATTTTTGAGGCTGCTGGTCCCTTATTTTCAAAATCTGTAAGTTGACAGCTATGTGTAGGGCTCAAACCCACAACCCTCAGATTAAAAGTCTCATACTCTGTCAACTGGGCTATTATTGTACTATTTTATTTACATTGGATACACAGTTTGTTTGAACAAAAAGAAGCAGCCCCCCCCTACATTCTTTATTATCAAACCACAAAATGGTGGCTCAGCACCTGAGATGTTGTACTCCCTCCACTGTTGTTTTAGCAATGGCAGCATCGACGTGAACTTCACGATCATCATGGAAATCAATATGCCAAACAACGTCAGTGCTATCGATAGAGAGATCGTCAACCGGACACAGGAGCTTGTGAAGCAATTGGAACACGCCAACGCCAGGAACTGTAGCCAGCAGGACAAAGGTAAGTTCTGAAGAACAGAGTTCCAGTTTTAATATTCCTTCCCTCCTCTGAGCAAAGTTCCAGGGACTTAGTTATAAAGTTTGGTTTCGTTAGCATCAAATAACACCAGAGACTTATGGTCCCTTTATGAACAAATATTCAGATATGTATATCTTTTTGGCCTCTGGGAACTGATACACAGTGACGTATCTCTTGGTTACATCAAGAAAGAACTATTCACTGTTGGAGAGAGAAGGTTTGGGAAGAGATTCTTGATCTTTCCTAGCAGAGTTAGCACTATGGTTGATTGCTATGTGAAAACTTGGTTGGATTTTACATCTGCCCTCATCTACCTTTAAACAAACGTTTCCAGTGAAAGTACTTAGGCTAGAATAAATCACAGACACCTAGCCGATCAGTGAAGTTTTTACTTACAGAGTCCCAGCACTTCCAGTAAACAAGTCTCATCCATCGGCAGTAAAAGTAATGAAAAAGAAAGGTTCCAAATGATTTTAAAAGCAAAGAACTTGGCCTTATTACAAAAAATATATAATGTAGTCTTTGTGTTAGCAAAGACACGCAGGCTGTGTAAATCTCCAAGCTAGGGAGATTTACCCATGTGTGTGTTTTGCTGAGCTGGTTTGAGGTTTGCTCTGATTTAGCACTAGAAAGCGGGCGGGCTTTTCCCTGGGAAAGGACCGGAGCAATAGGAAAACTGCTCCGCCCCGTGTATTTGGTGTAGAAAGTGTGGATTGAATGGAAAACTGCTTGGAGCCATGTTTCCTAGGCAAGCGACAAGCAGAGGTGTGGACGAGTCCTGTCTTTGTGACACACATTAAATAGTTTAGGATGTGCAGGGTAATAATAATAATAATAATAATAATAATAATAATAATAATATTCTGGAACTGAACAATACAATCTTCTCCTTCTTGTTCCAGACTACTGTTTCACTGTTTTAGAGTCCCCCGCTCTGGTTAGAAATTTTTCGGCAGAAGGTGAGTACTAGATATGGGAATGGGAGGGAGAAGGGAGAGTCTCTTCAAGTCCCCTTATGTTGCATTCGCAGTATTGTCCCCATAGCTGAGGGAGTGGGGAACCTTGGGGCTGGAGGGTCAAATGCCTAAGGCCTCTCTTTCTGGACATTGGGACTCTCGCCCAAGCCACAGCCACTCCCCTCAAGAAATAGCCCTCACAAACCCAGGTTCAAGTGTTCCTTCAGTGCTTTCGTCTGGCTAGGATGTGATAATACCATTTGCTTTCCTGGACGGAGAGGTACAGGTCGTGCGCATATAGAGGAACCTCTGGCCTTGACCTGGCTGGAATGTAGCTTCCCCATTCCAGGGCAACAATCACATCTATGACTTCATTTTCTTTCTTTCTTTTTATTATTATTTTATTTTGACAAAGTAATAATCGAAATAAATAAGAATAAAAATGCGCACCCCGCCACTGAGACCATTCCATTGTAACTATCCAACCTCCCACAATTTCAACACCTCTTGCGATGGTTTGACCCCTTGCACCGTTTTAACGGTGCAAATTCTACAAACACCTTCCATATCTCCTCGAAATCATTTGTCCTCCATATTCCCCGTCTTACCTTAATGGCACGTATTGATTTGTCACTGATAGCTATATCCCACACCTCTTTATACCATTCTTCCATTTTATATTCTGCTTGCCCCTTCCATTTGTCCTGCATATTCCTAACAACAACAACAACAACAATATTAATAATAAATTTATTTATACCCCGCCCTCCTAAGACTAGTAAAATTACAGTAAAATCATAACGGGGGGGGACCCAATTTAAAATACAGGTTCAAATGCAATTTAAAATGCAGCCTCATTTAAAAGTGGCCCATAGATCAAAACCATAAGGGGAGGGAAAACATAAGGGTCAGACTGAGTCCAAACCAAAGGCCAGGCGGAACAGCTCCGTCTTGCAGGCCCTGCGGAAAGATGTCAAGTCCCACAGGGCCCTGGTCTCTTGTGACAGCATTCCACCAAGTCGGGGCCAGTACTGAAAAGGCCCTGGACCTAGTTGAGACCAATCTAACCACCTTGCGACCTGGGACCTCCAAAATGTTGTCATTTGTGGACCTTAAGGTCTTCCGCGGGACATCCCAGGTCTTACTTTAATGGCAGGTGTTAATTTGTCATTGAGGGACGCGGGTGGCGCTGTGGGTAAAACCTCAGCGCCTAGGACTTGCCGATCGTCAGGTCGGCGGTTCGAATCCCCGTGGCGGGGTGAGCTCCCGTTGCTCAGTCCCAGCTCCTGCCAACCTAGCAGTTCGAAAGCACCCCCGGGTGCAAGTAGATAAATAGGGACCGCTTACTAGCGGGAAGGTAAACGGCGTTTCCGTGTGCTGCGCTGGCTCGCCAGATGCAGCTTGTCACGCTGGCCACGTGACCTGGAAGTGTCTGCGGACAGCGCTGGCTCCCGGCCTATAGAGTGAGATGAGCGCACAACCCTGGAGTCTGTCAAGACTGGCCCGTACGGGCAGGGGTACCTTTACCTTTATAATTTGTCATTGATAGCTATCTCCCACACCTCTTTATACCATTCTTCCATTTTATATTCTGCTTGCCCCTTCCACTTCCTAGCTATCATAATCCAGACAGCTGCTAATAAATTTGTGAGCAAGTCCTTCCTAGCCTGTGAACCTTCCACCCCATTGTAAATTGATGATAATGCAACCTCTGGACTTTCGGTCAGCGTTAACCCAGTGATTTCTGTTATCTCCTCAAACACCCTTTGCCAGAAAAATTGTACATCTTTACACCCCCACCACAGGCAGGTTTCCTGGCATCCCCTCCAACATAACACAGAATATTCCTTATTTATTTGATTTAATCTGACTGGTGTTAAATACCACCTCCAAACTAATTTGCAATAATTTTCTTTTATTATTATATCTATGGCTTCTCCAATTTTTGCTTCAGGCCCTGCCGGCTACTGTCATGCAGCCTTCAAAACGTTTCCCACAAGGCAATGCAGCCCTTGGAACACTGAAAAGTGTCTCCTCCGTCTGCCATCGCCTGTCCATTCAGAGCAGACACAGCCAAGTCTAAACCAGTTGTCCTCAGAAAATGCCAATGGAAGCAGGTAGCCTGCCCTGCCACATAGAATGCATTTTGTCACATGTTGTTGTTTAGTCGTGTCCGACTCTTCGTGACCCCATGGACCAGAGCATGCCAGGCACCCCTATCTTCCACTGGCTCCCGCACTTTGGTCAAACTCATGCTGGTAGCTTCGAGAACACTGTCCAACCATCTCGTCCTCTGTCCTCCCCTTCTCCTTGTGCCCTCCATCTTTCCCAACATCAGGGTCTTTTCCAGGGAGTCTTCTCTTCTCACGAGGTGGCCAAAGTATTGGAGCCTCAGCTTCAGGATCTGTCCTTCCAGGGAGCACTCAGGGCTGATTTCCCTGTTGCTACTCAGCTTCAAAAAACAAAACAAACAAACAAAAGTGTCCCAGATTCATTGAAAAACATCTGAGATGCAAGGAGGGAGGTGATGATGGACATGACAATGTCACCAGCATCAAGTACCGTATTGGCCTGAATATAAGCCTCACTTCTCCCCCAAATTCCGACCTTGAAAAGTTAAAGTGCGGCTTATATTCGCGACCTTATGGTATGCAGCCAGGAGCTGGGGGGGGGCAAAGCGGTGACCGCCCAGTGCGTAGTCCCCCCTCCTCTCCCCCAAGGCCAGGAAGGGAGAGAGTGAGGAAGGGGAAGAGGCCCCTGCCCAGTATGCAGCCAGGAACAGCAAGGAATGGAGCGACTTATATTCGGGTATTTTTTCTTTTTCTTTTCTTTTTTCCAATTTTTTAAAATTGATTTTCCACCTTTATAACAGACATAATATGTAAAAACACACAAAAGAAAAGACTAAAAAGAAAAGAGAAACAAGAATATACACTCATAATACTTCTAAAACCCAATTTAAATTTCATTGTTAACTGGCTGCCTCCTAACTGAATTTCATTGTATCACCTTGTAACAGCTCTCCAATATCCTCTTTCTAATAAAATTAACTCATTCAATTTACTATCTTCTTCTCTTTTCATAATAATGAAATCCATAATGTATTACAATTCATTCTTACTCTAACCCTAAGCCTATTTGATACTTTCAAGTAACTTCTAATTATCTTATGTTACAATATTTAGCTAAATAGTCTTTAAATTTCTTCCAATCTTCTTGATATTCCTCTTCTTTCTGATCACGGATTCTTCCAGTCAGGTTGGCCAGCTCCTAAAAGTCTAACATCTTCATCTGCCATTCTTCTACTGTTGGTAGTTCTTGAGATTTCCAGGTTTTAGCTAGTAGCAGTCTTGCCGCTGTAGTGGCATACGAAAACTAACATCTTTTTTGGGGCAGTTCCAATCCTATTATTCCAAGTAGGAAGGCTTCTGTTTTTTTAATAAATGTATTTTTCAACATTTTTTTCAGCTCATTATAAATCTTTTCCCAGAAGTCTTTCACCTTAGGACACGTCCACCACATATGATAAAAAGTGCCTTCTTTTTCTTTACACTTCCAGCATAAATTATCATTTGTGTGGTAGATCTTTGCTAATTTTAATTTTTTTCCCTCCCCGCCCCTCCAATTTTAAAGGCGTGGCTTATATTCGGGTGTGGCTTATATTTGGGCCCATACAGTATCTCACCCCTGAGACTGGATGTCATTGACAAACCCATGCTCCATGTATCTCTCTTAAGATTTCCATGAGTGCCAGTACTCTGATTGCTCTGGGTTATTCCACCAGGAAATCTCTCATTTAGGCACGGAAAGTAGACTTGCTAAGTTTCAGCAAACTGACTTGTTATGCCCCTTTGCTTTGACTTGCGCCAAACGACCAGATTTCTTCCTTTTTTTCTTTCCCAGATTATTGCAAAAATATCGTCAAGCCTCAATATGCAGCCTACTATTACGCCAATATGTCCACGGGAACATTGCGCTGTATTACCAACTGCACCAAGGGAACAAAGACCTCCTGGAACTGCCACTATGGAGAGTGTCGCATTCGTGAAACAGGCCCCGAGTGCTTGTAAGTGGACAGGTGGGGGGCGTAGCAGAAAAAAACCCCATCTCCAGTCTCTTCAGCCCACCCACTGCTTAAAGCTCGATATAATGACCCCTATACCTGTCTGCACTCATACACACACACACCCCATTCCCCCCCCCACATGTCCTGCAAAAGTTCTGATTAGCACATTGATAACAAAATGTAAACATAGCAAAATTTGCACACACCAACTGGCAGAGAAAGCAGTGGGGGCGGTGGGCGTGGTCCGCCCCGGGTGTCATGCCTGAGGGGGGGGTGACATTGCCACGCCACCCCCCTGGGACGCTGGCCGTGGGCAATGCCCTCGTGGGATGATTATCGCTGACTGCAGGCGGCGCCCCCAGGACGCAGGACACGCCTCTGCACACACCTAAGTCAGAATGAGATATGCATATCAAGAGATTTTATCCAGAGATTTTGCAAATGAGCATGGGGAAGTTGGGACGCGGGTGGCGCTATGGGTTAAACCTCAGAGCCTAGGGCTTGCTGATCAGAAGGTTGGCGGTTCAAATCCCTGCGACGGGGTAAGCTCCCATTGCTCGGTCCCTGCTCCTGCCAACCTAGCAGTTCAAAAGCACATCAAAGTGCAAGTAGATAAATAGGTACCGCTCCGGCGGGAAGGTAAACGGCGTTTCCGTGCGCTGCTCTGGTTCGCCTGAAGTGGCTTAGTCATGCTGGCCACATGACCCGGAAGCTGTACGCCGGCTCCCTCGGCCAGTAAAGCGAGATGAGTGTCGCAACCCCAGAGTTGGTCACGACTGGACCTAATGGTCAGGGGTCCCTTTACCTTTACTATGGGGAAGTTAGCAACAAGGATTCCTTTGTCTGAGATGCTACCTCTGCCTTGGCAAACCTACAACTCCCATGATCCCTAGATAGCAGGACCAGCGGTCAGGGATGATGGGAATTGTAGTCTCAAAACATCTGGAGGGCTGAGTTTGAGCAAGCCTGCCTTATGGGGTATCAAGAGCCCGTATAGAGTCCTTATATAGGTTCCTTATCGGTAGGAGAAAATAACGGAGGCCAACCAGAGAATATTGAGAAGCAAAGCAGCTAGTAAGCCTGATCTTTATTAAACTATTGCAACAGGGTCCCCACTCACCACACAGAGGAGGAGGAACCCAGAACAATGGTGTGCAAAGCCCTTATATAGACTTTTGAAATTGCCACCCTGTAGATCAAGACTACCCCCAAAAACATCATACATACATCACAGAAGGTGGTGGGTCTACAGCAGAAATCCTCTTTGCCAGGATACCTGATAATGGTCACTGATTGCTTTACCTGGGCAGCCTGGCCATTCTTTGGTGATGGTTAATACTCCAGTTCCTGAGTCCCAGGTCACAGGCTCATCCTATTCATACACAAATATGCCCTCAAGACAGGATTTTCCCCCTCCCCTTCTCAGTCGCCAACAGCTCCACCCCCCTTTATGGTGGCTGCCTAGGGCCAATTGTCTCTTAGCTCTCTGCTCTCCTACTTTCAACGCTCGCTGGGTTTTGGGAGAAGGGGGGGTCTGAAATGCTCTCTAGTGATAACGTGTCAGCCAGCTGTTTCTGCTCTGCTTCTTCCATTATTTCTCAGCTTTGCCCCTCTTCTGTATCTGAGCTGTGACCACCTGCAAACCACTGTTGTAAATCTATACTATCTCCCTCTTCTCTGGAAAGTTCAGGCTGAGGAGGCATTATCCACCATTCCTTCCCCTCCCCTGCTCAGTCCCTGACAATTATTGTGAAAATAAGAAATATTTTTTTTGAGGGTGCCAAATTTTGTCCTTGCTCAGGACACCGTATTGCCAAAGTCCACCCCTGTATTCTGCCTTCAATTCTCTTTCTCGTTCTCGTGAGCATCAGTCCTGCTGTGACTTCCATCTTCCTGAGTTATTTTCACCTTGATATAATGCAAGTGGGACGCGGGTGGCACTGTGGGTAAAAGCCTCAGCGCCTAGGGCTTGCCGATCGAAAGGTCGGCGGTTCGAATCCCCGTGACAGGGTGCGCTCCCGTTCGAAAGCACTCCCGGGTGCAAGTAGATAAATAGGGACCGCTTACTAGCGGGAAGGTAAACGGCGTTTCCGTGTGCGGCTCTGGCCACGTGTCCCGGAAGTGTCTCCGGACAGTGCTGGCCCCCAGCCTCTTGAGTGAGATGGGCGCACAACCCCAGAGTCTGTCAAGACTGGCCCGTACGGGCAGGGATACCTTTACCTTTATAATGCAAGTAAGAGAATGCATGTGTATTGGGACATTGCGTGGCGAGTTCCCACCTCCCCCAGTAGAAATAAAGACACGTGACACCATTGATTAAGGTTAATGGGCTAAAATTGGCCACAACTTTATTGGCTACAGGTAAGAGCAGTATTGGCTTAGGCATTGGTCCTATCCAACTATCCGGCTTCAGCCTGTTTGCTTGAAGACCGGAAAGGGTTAACACCAGCAGAGGGAGCCCTGCTGATGCACAACAACTAGGGACTCCCCCGGGGTCACCGCTCGGGGGGGGCGCTTTAGGCTCTGGCCTCCACAGGCTTCGGACGAGGCCACGCCCCCCGGAATCCTTTACCGGATTACCCTTAAATATTCGGGGGAGGTGATGGCGCTCCTCCCCCCAAACATCAAAATAACAATACCCCTACCAATGCATAACCGCCACTTGAGCAAAGCTCGCTGCCAATACCCTCAAACCTGCAACCAATCCCTAATCCTAGCAAATATGTCATTTAACCAAACATCATTTCCCTCATTGGAAAGATGCACGCCATCCTCGCGATAGAGGGCCTCCTTACATGTTGGGGTGGTCAATGACCCAACCCCCCAGTGCTGCCACTCAATGAGCCACTGCGCTTTCCAGGATTTCCTGGCTTTGTTTACTGCGATAGGGGATCGGCAGTCCCTCCAAGTGCGCCTTTCAAGCAGAGATGACCAAATTAAAATTAAATTCGGGAAGGAAGAACGATGCGTGAAGGGACACCAAACGCTCGCAGATGAAGATGTCAGTGGCCTCAAGCAGCTTGCATGCTATGGCAGATGAAGTTGATGGACTATATGGAACTGGCGGAAATGACTGGCAGAATCCGAGACCAGGGAGAAGAGTCGGTGGAAGAAGACTGGAAAAAGTTTAAAGATTATTTACAGAAATACTGTAAAATCAATGAACGTTAGAAAAATGTTGGAATGAAGTTATATGGCTTTAGTAGAAATGTTACAAGGAACTAAGTACAAATAGATTACTAATGTATTAAAAGGAAAAAATAAGGTTAGAATATGTTAAGATAAATTACAGGACAGAAAACAGAGGAAGAAGGAAAGGAATTGCTGAAACAGTTAACTGAAGTGGAATACAAAAAGGGAGGTGTGAGGAGGTCATTGAAACAAGTGAATGAAAGATAAGATATTGAAACTATTGGATGTGTTTTAAATTGTTTTTGTTTTGTTTTGTTAGTTTAATGTTTTAGTGTTAGTGTTATGTAGTATCTTTGTTTTTGTATTGTACTGTATTGTTTTGTTTTATTTTCTTTTGTTTTGTAGTGTTTAAACTGTTAATAAATATTATTTTAAAAAAGGGTTGCATGCTAAGGTTTGGGGTATAGCAGCATTTCTCATCCCCACCTCTCTATCTTTTCCCTCACAGGTGCAGTGATATGGACAAGTTTTGGTACACAGGAGATTTTTGCGAGACACGCTTCCAGAAGAGTGAGGTGGGCCTTGGTATTGGGCTCGCCATCTTGTTTGTGACCAGTGCTGTCCTGGCTTTCTTCCTCTTCAGAGCCATGAGGAAGAAATCTAAAGAGAGGTAAGAAACACAAGAGTTCCAATGGAGAGCTTGGTTCACTGAGAGAGAGAAAGAATGATGGATGAATCTATCATTCTCGGTTTCTCTCAGATTATCCCCCACCCTGCCAACTTTTTCAGTTCTTGCCTCATTAGTTTGCATTATAGACAGTGGTACCTCGAGTTACATACGCTTCAGGTTACAGACGCTTCAGGTTACAGACTCCGCTAACCCAGAAATAGTACCTCGGGTTAAGAACTTTGCTTCAGGATGAGAACAGAAATCGTGCTCCAGCGGTGTGGCAGCAGCAGGAGGCCCCATTAGCTAAAGTGGTGCTTCAGGTTAAGAACAGTTTCAGGTTAAGTACAGACCTCCGGAACGAATTAAGTACTTAACCCGAGGTACCACTAGATAGATGATAGATAGATGATAGATTAGATAGATAGATAGATAGATAGATAGATAGATAGATAGATAGATAGATAGATAGATGCTAGATTTACCCATGTCAATTTTTGGCACATATATAATGGTTTTTAAAATACAGTATTTTCACGGGGGGGGGTTACAGTATTTTCACGAATATAAGCATTTTCGTGCACAATTTTTCACAACACACTTTTTTACGTGCCTGTTTCGGTTCAAGAACCGCATGGCAAAATTCAGAAAACAGTGGGGGGTTTTTTGAAGGACTCCTGTGTTTTAGTTCACGTATTGCCCTGCGTCAGTGTGAATTGTTAGGCGACTTCACATTAATACAGTAGTACCTCGGTTTTCAAATGTAATCCATTCTGGAAGACCGTTCGGCTTCCGAAACGTTTGAAAACTGAGGTGCAAAGGGCCACCTGCAATTTCTATTGAGAAAATTGAAGAAAAAAAACTACACAGGGAAAGCCGTTTGACTTCTGAGGAAAACGGAAGCAATTACTTTCAGGTTTTCGGCTTCTAAGACGCTAGAAAACCGAGATACCACTGTATGTGAACTGAACGAAGTTTTCTCTTAAGTTACAAAAGGCCCAGGTTGTCTTCAGATCTCTGAGAGGGACGTGCAGGAACATTAACAGGGCTCTATTTCTGGGTTGTGTATATGGGGGTGCGGATAGAAAGAATTGAAAATTTGGACTTCTGAGGCAGAACATGGAGGGTGTGGTGGTGGGGAAGACAGAGCGACAAGGACAGCCCACCCGTTAGGTAGAGTGAGGCTGCTGCCTCAGGCAGCGGAAGCCCTTGAGCTGGCACCCCTATGAGAGGGGGGGAGAGAGAGAATGTGCAACCTTTTCCAGGAGGCGTCATCCTAGGAGTGACCTGTGCATATTGTTCTTGCAGCTTCCTTGACGGAGAGGAGCTCTGGTACGTGGAGGATGAAGAGGAAGAGTGGAAGCCTTCCTCAGGCCTGAGCATCGTGAATAAAGCAGCCTGCGAGGGTGGTAAGGATTCATTATGCTATAAGAAAAACTGCTCCTTTTCCCTGATGGGGTATTCCAGAGCCTGTACAGAGTCCTTAAGTGGGTTCCTTATTGGTAGGAGAAATAACAGAGGCCAACCAGAGTACAGTCATACCTCATGTTACGCTTGCTTCAGGTTGAGCATTTTCAGGTTGCGTCCCGCGGCGACCCAGAAGTACCAGAAAGGGTTACTTCCGGGTTTCGCCGCTCGCGCATGCGCAGACCCGCAAAATGACATCACGCGCATGTGCAGACGTGGCGAATTGTGACCCACGCATGCACAGACACAGGTTGCGTTCTTTTCAGGTGGCAAACGGGCCTCCGGAATGGATCCCGTTTGCAACCAGAGGTATATTGAGAAGCAAAGCAGCTAGTAAGCCTGATTTTTATTCAAGGAACTGTAGCAACAGGGTCCCCACTCACCGTCACGTGACGGTCACCTCCAGACTGGATAATTGTAACTCGCTGTATGTGGGGCTGCCCTTGAGACTGAGCCAGAAACTCCAGCGGGTGCAGAATGCCGCAGCGAGACTCCTTACGGGGTCCTTGCTGCGGGATCACATTCACCCGGTGCTATACCAGCTGCGCTGGCTCCCAGTGGAGTACAGGATCAGGTTTAAGGTGCTGGTTTTAACCTTTAAAGCCCTATACGGCCTAGGACCCTCATACCTATGGGACCGCCTCTCCTGGTATGTCCCACAAAGGAACTTACAGTCTTCAAACAAAAACATCTTGGAGGTCCCAGGCCACAGGGAGGTTAGGCTGGCCTCAATCAGATCCAGGGCTTTTTCGGCTGTGGCTGCAATCTGGTGGAACACTCTGTCACAAGAGACTAGGACCCTGCGGGACTTGACATCTTTCCGCAGGGCCTGCAAGACAGAGCTGTTCCTCCAGGCTTTTGGCCAGGGCACAGCCTGACTCCATCCTTTGGCAATCTTCACAGAACTCTAGCCCAATGGTTGCCTTCAATTTGATTTGAATTAATTTTATAATGAAATGATTTTAGAATGTTGTATTATTTTATTGTTGTTAGCCGCCCTGAGCCCGGCTTCGGCTGGGGAGGACGGGATATAAATAAAAAATTATTATTATTATTATTATTATTATTATTATTATTATTATTATTATTACTATTTCCTTAGCAAGGAAGAAGTGAGAAGCCTCACTGTGTGCACCCAGGAAAGGCTGTGTAAGGGGTGGAAAGGGGCTTTCTGGGTTACGGCCAATAAATCATTCCAACACTCTAGCTGCTCTTAAATTAAGAAATACTAATACTATGTGAAAGGAGTGTTGTTGCTTTTGTTTGTCACTATGGCATGCATTTGTGTGTTTCTGTATTGTACACTGCCCTGTGATCCTTGGAAGAAGAGTGGTATACAAATCATCATCATCATCATCTTTGTTTCTTAGGACTTGAAGGCAGAAAACAGGTGTTCAGACCAACTCTTGATGCAGTAGATACTGAAATGCAGGTATGTACAGCTATAGTTTCATCTTGGGCAGATTTCTTTCGGTTATCGTCTCCTGAGATCAATCGACAGATGATGATTGTGTAGACAGCAAAAGCAGGGATGGAGATCTGCGCCATTATGAAACATGAGAGATGTAGTAATAGCCATCGGTCACCATAAGAATCATTGCCAGCACCAGTTACTATTTATTAAATTTCTATTCCGCCCTTCATCCGAGGATCACCGGTGGGGTGTGTGGTTTAAAATGTAGAAACACAAAAATACATAACATAGTAACAAACAGCACACACACCACACAGTTCTAAAGGCCTGAGCCATTTGAGTCTTTATAGGTCAAAACCAGCACTTTGAATTGGGCCGAGAAACTGATTGGCAGCTGGTTAGATGATTGACAGTCGGTTCTATGCTCAAACCATCTTGCCCCGGTGAGCAACAAGGCCACTGAAGCTTCCGAACCGTCTTCAGAGGCAGCCCCACATATAACACTTTGCAGTAATCCAGCCTAAGGCTTACCAGGGCATAGACAACAGAAGTTAAGCTAGGTAAAGGTACCCCTGCCCGTACGGGCCAGTCGTGTCCGACTCTAGGGTTGTGCGCCCATCTCACTTAAGAGGCCGGGGGCCAGCGCTGTCCGAAGACACTTCCAGGTCACGTGGCCAGTGTGACAAGCTGCATCTGGCGAGCCAGAGCCGCACACGGAAATGCCGTTTACCTTCCCGCTGGTAAGCGGTCCCTATTTATCTACTTGAACCCGGGGGTGCTTTCGAACTGCTAGGTTGGCAGGCGCTGGGACCGAGCAACGGGAGCGCACCCCGCCGCGGGGATTCGAACCGCCGACTTTTCGATCGGCAAGCCCAAGGCGCTGAGGCTTTTACCCACAGCGCCACCCGTGTCCCTTGAAGTTAAGCTATCCTGGTCCTCATAGGAACACAACTGGACCACCAGCTGAAGCTGATGGAAGGCCATTGAGGCCACCTGAGCCTCAAGCAACAGCAAAGGATCTAGGAGGACCACCCAAGCTATCTTATCTGCTCCTTCAGAGGGAGAAGGCAACCTCCCATCCATCTGGTCAAGGGAACTGCCCACTGACAGTGCCTCAGTCCTATCTGGTTTGAGCTTCAGTTTGTTGGCTCTCATCCAGTCCATTACTGAAGCAAGACAACGGTCTGGTCACCCCCATACAGTGGTACCTCAGGTTAAGAGCTTAATTCGTTCTGGAGCTCTGTTCTTAACCTGAAACTGTTCTTAAGCTGAGGTACCACTTTAGCTAATGGGGCCTCCCTGTGCCGCTGCACGATTTCTGTTCTCATCCTGAAGCAAAGTTCTTAATCCGAGGTACTATTTCTGGGTTAGCGGAGTCTGTAACCTGAAGCGTCTGTAACCCGACGTACCACTCTATTACCCTCCCTTAAAATTGCTGAGCCCCTTCTCCATATCAATTAGCAAATGTGACAGTAAAAAGGGGGGATATTTCACTTAAGCATATCTGGCGCCCCCTCCCCCTTTCCCAGAGTTGTCAACATTTCCCAATCCTCTGCGGGGATCTCTCTCCTCCTGTGGAGGCCTGGGAAGGAAGCTGCACGTCTGCCAGCCACAGAGTTGGCGGTGTGCAGCTTCCATCCTAAGCCTTTGTGGGGATAGCTCTCCTCCCACGGAGGCTTGTGAGGCAAGGTGCACACCCACCAGCCATATGGTTGACGGGGCACAGCTAGCAGGCATGCAGTAGGGAAAGGGGAGGCCGCCGCCGAAGCCGCACAGCTCCCCCACTCGCTGGGGCGCCCCTGAGAGGCCGGCGCCCTGGCGCAACGCACCAGTAAACCCAATGGGAAAGATGGCTCTGCTTCAGTTCAGACTTAGCTATGTGATGCAAATACGCAAGTGATTAGGTTTTGTTTTTTCTATAAAAAGAAATAAATTTAAAACCACAATTCCAAACACCAATTTGTTGTTTTTTTTTTTCACATCTCCTTTGTTAACAAGTCCTGTTGATTCCACAGATCCAAAATCATAATTTATAAAATTACCGTATTTTTTGCTCTATAAGACTCACTTTTTCCCTCCTAAAAAGTAAGGGGAAATGTGTGTGCGCCTTATGGAGCGAATGCAGGCTGTGCAGCTATCCCAGAAGCCAGAACAGCAAGAGGGGTTGCTGCTTTCACTGCGCAGCAGCGATCCCTCTTGCTGTTCGGGCTTCCGAGATTCAGAATATTTTTGTTTGTTTGTTTGTTTTCCTCCTCCAAAAACTAGGTGCGTCTTGTGGTCTGGTGCGTCTTATAGAGCGAAAAATACGGTACATAAACTGTATGCATGCCAAAAAAGTATCCTAAATGTGTATAGCTTTATCGTGCCTCTCCTGTATCCTTTACATAAGCAATAAGCTTGCCGTCGTGGCAAACTCATACAACTTTGATTCTCATTCAGCAGTTGTGGCAATTTTATTCTGTCTCTGATATTTTGCAACAATCACAGGCAATATTCACTCTATTAAATATGAAGCTAGTTTTGAAGTCAGGAAGAAGCAGAGTTTCGCGTTTCTTCTGGTTTCAAATGAGCCCTGCTTTTTCATGGACCTCACAACACACTTTGTACTTCTTCTCTTTGCAGCTGCAGTTCCAGAAGCCGGAGGTAACAACCCAGTGTTGATTCCCACCCTGGGACTCGTTTCGGATAGTTCTCTTCAGGAGTTGAGGTGAATGAAGAAACCTAACACCCAACGGATCGCAACTGGAAGCCCACTAACAGAAAGGCGGGTCTGATGGCTGGCAGTGGAGTTCAGCATGCCGGCTTTAAAAAAATTCTTCCAAAACTGTTTCTTGGATGTGACTCTCAGCCTATTACGAAGAAGACCACTCTGTTGAAATCAGATCCGTATAGGAACCAACGAAGAGCACACATGACTATTTGCACAAAAAAGAATCCATAAACTGTGCTACAATCCATGGAGGGAAGGAAACATCACGGAGTGGTTCATTCGATTTCCCTAAGCAAGATATGTTGGAGTCCTCATCTTTAAATTATATGCAGGTGTGGTCAACCAATTTTTGTGTGTGCCCCCAATACACCCCTTCTAATTTGCCATTTAAAAAAAAATACAGAGTAATTCATAATGAAGTATACAGTTTCAACGCGCTACAAAAAAGAAGAATGTAATATATCTTACGTCAGCTGTAACAGAATTGTAGGGGAATGTTGAAAGTTTTTTTAGAAACAGTCACAGATGCCAGTGTGGTGTAGTGGTTAAGAGCGGTAGTCACGTAATCTGGGGAACCGGGTTCGTGTCTCCGCTCCTCCACATGCAGCTGCTGGGTGACCTTGGGCCAGTCACATTTCTTTGAAGTCTCTCAGCCCCACTCACCTCACAGAGTGTTTGTTGTGGGGGAGGAAGGGAAAGGAGATTGTTAGCCGCTTTGAGACTCCTGAAGGGGAGTGAAAGGCGGGATATCAAATCCAAACTCTTCTTCTTCTTCTTCTTTGTGTACACCCTTTGTCACATGACACACATCGAAGTGGTAATCCATTTCTTCCCAAATGTGACTCGCCCTACATGTTGATTTTCCCAGGCTTCGTTGAATGGTGGTGCAAACACTATCGACAACTTCTTCCGACACGCACGGTCGTCCAGGACTTCTAAGTTTGCACAAACCCATAGTTTCAAATCTAATATATCACCATCAATACCTCACTCTGGAACTGATTTTAATTTATAATATTAAACTTTGGGGGGGGGTTAATTTCCTGTTTTTAACTCTGCCTTTTATTGTTACCTTTAATATTTGTTTTATTTTTCCGTAAAATGAGAGATTCTATTTGCAATTGAGCAGCACATGCATTTTACAAAAGAAAAGAATTTAAAAGCATGGCAAATCGTGTGTGCGTGACATTCAAATTCCTTTTGTTGGGGAGTTAACTGTGTACCAGGGGTGTGGGGGTGAAAAAGCGGCTTTTCAGAAAGCCACATGGATCAATACACCATGTGGGGCATTTTGAAAAGATTAAATAGCCGCCACCAAAATCAGATTTTTCTTTGGCAAATAAAAGGAGAGGAAAAAAGACAAGGAATGTGACAGATTGAGGGTGTTCTATCCTTGTGTGTGCCAAGCATTATAGCACTTTAGCCATAGTTTTGGTCTGTCGAGTAACAGCTTTTAGGTAAAGGTAAAGGGACCCCTGACCATTAGATCCAGTCGTGGCCAACTCCGGGGTTGCAGTGCTTATCTTGCTTTATTGGCCAAGGGAACCGGCATACAGCTTCCGGGTCATGTGGCCAGCATGGCTAAGCCGCTTTTGGCGAACCAGAGCAGCACACAGAAATGCCGTTTACCTTCCTGCCAGAGCGGTACCTATTTATCTACTTGCACTTTGACGTGCTTTCGAACTGCTAGGTTGGCAGGAGCAGGGACCCAGCAACGGGAGCTCACCCCGTCGCGGGGATTCGAACTGCCAACCTTCTGATTGGCAAGCCCTAGACCTGCGTCCACACCGCCACAGCTTTTACCTCGCTATTATTTTCTTATAAATGTTTTTTAAATAGAATGCTACGCATGGTGGTTGTACGGATGAATGCCTTAGAAATGCTTGTATTTATGATAAAGTGTAGTTTCTTGGACGAGAAGCGTGCTATAGGGCTAATAGGATACTTTGGGGGGACGGACTTTTCCTCCTTTCTGCCTCCAAGCTGCGGCCCCTAAAACGGGCATTCCTTTCCCATGCACATCACATTTCAGGGGATTTTCCAGACATGGCAGAAAATTGCTGCTGGTGGTTTTTGTATGTGCGCGTGTGTGTTTTAAGTTCTGAATAGAGATTATGTTTCTCAAGGTGTTTTGTTTTCAGATTCTGTAAGCAATTAAAGTATTTATATTGCACCGTAAACTTTGCTCTCAGAGTGCTGTGCTTTTTCTTCTTCTGTCCAAAAGCAAAAACATACCTGCTTGCCATATAACCTCTGGAATCAGTTGTTGTTGCCATACATCGTATATGCCGTTGCTCCTGACGACGGCGCATAAATTGCACCCGGTGCACTTCATATCACATATCACTCCACTTGGGATGACATGTACTGGTTGCCAATCAACCTCTGAGCCCAATTCAAGATGTCTAGATAAAGAAGTCTTGATAAATTTGGCCACCAGTTACTTAGAAGACAACATCCTCCTGGGCAGATCTCCCTGCCTGTTGAAATCAGCTGAGGAGGCACTGGTGTTTTTTCTTTAATTAACAATTTCAACATAACAACGTATCAAAACTGTTAAGGTGTGGGTGAACATATCAGACGGCACAGCAATTCTTCAAACAGCTCTTGTTTATTCAGAGCCAGAACAGAACTGAACTGAAGGGTTCAGCCAGCCTGCTCATATAGAGCTCCACTACAACGCAACTGTAACCAATTTCTGTAACTATCCAATCACTGAACGTCACTTTCAATCCCTTATTTGCATATGTGGACCTGAGTGAAAACTATCTACAGTATCTCCCTGCTGGCCCAGGGTGAGAACTTCAGTACATAACAAAAACATCTCATATTCATCATTTCCCTCCCTATTTCCCCCCATCAAACCCTCCCTCCCCCCACAAGACTTCCCTCAGCTCCTCTCTCTGATCTCTCAACTAAATATTGTTCTCTGCATACTGTAAAATTGCATAAATCCTTATATTACCTATCTACTACATTAACAATCAATAGATTTGTGGATGTTTATTCAAAACCTGCCAAGGAGTCCGATTCATTTTGTTGTCTTTTTAAGTAATACAGTCATACCTCGGGTTAAATTCACTTCAGGTTGAGCATTTTCAGGTTGCGTCCCGCGGCGACCCGGAAGTAACGGAATTGGTTACTTCCAGGTTTCGCAGCTCGCACATGCGCAGACGCGCAAAATGACGTCACGCGCATGCGCAGAAGCAGCAAATCGCGGCATGTGCACCGCAGACGCAGGTTGCGTTCTGCTCAGGATGCAAACAGGACTCCCGAACGGATCCTGTTCTCATCCAGAGGTACCACTGCACGTAAAATGTTTTCATTCTTCTTTAAAGTCTGTTTGTCAATTTAGCCATTTCTGCATAGTTCATCAATTTCTCTTGCCATTGTTCTTTTGTCGGGATTTCCTCATTCTTCCATCCTTGTGCTATCAAGACTCTTGCCGCTGTTGTTGCATACATAAATAAATTATTCATTTCCCTTGGCAGGTCTTGTCCTACAATCCCTAACAAAACACTTCTAAAATCAGCTGGGGAGGCACTGTTGGCAGTGCCAACCTCTGTGGTCCTTCGAGGTGGCGGTGTGACCTGGCCCTTCTTGGCAGCAGCCTCCATATTATGGATCTCCTCAGGAATCATACCCTCTAAGCGTCCCTATTTTCCAGGGACAGTCCCAGATTTACAGAAGCCATTCCAACTTCCTGCTCCCAATCAGAAGATGCTCGTTGGTTTCCAAACATTTTGGAAGCCGAATGGACTTCCAGAATGGATTCCGTTCGACTTCCAAGGTATAACTGTATAAGAGAACAAGTGAGGTGTTCATGGTGAGTTCTGGCACCTCTTTTCTAGAAAAAGAGCATTGTTTGTACCCTGCCCATCTGGCTGGGTTGCCCGAGCCACTCTGGGCAGCTTCCAACGTATATAAAAACATAATGAAACATTATTATTTTTTTTAAATCCCCTTACGAGGCTGCTTCCAGAAGTCTTCTAAAGGTTGCATAAACAAAAATGTTGTATAGTTACTTCTCTCCTTGGCTCAGGGAGGGTGGGTTGGATAACTCCATACACTCCAACATTTCTCCAACAAAAACAGGGATGTCCTAAGGAAAAGCAGGACTTTCGAGGATCAAATCAGAAACTGGGGTGGCTTCTATAAATCTGGAACTGTCCCTGGAAAATAGGGACCCTTGTTGGGTCTGCAAATAGAGTCCTGGAAGGCTGCATTAAAATCCAGAGCTCCCCACCTCCACCTTCGTCATCCTGGGGCCACCCTTCAATTAAGTTCTCTTTCTCTAAATCGTCCTTGATGGTGTACAACAGGCATGTCCAACAGGTAGATCGTGATCTACTGGTAGATCACTGGACGTCTGTGGTAGATCACTGGTAGATCACTGGCTCCACCCAAAGAAGCTCAACAACTTTGTCTCCCCTAAAAAAAACTCAACATTATTGCCTTGCATCCCCCCAAAACGGGGCTTTCCTCCTCCCTAAAAAAAACTTTGACCTGAACCCCTAAAAAACGGGCCATCCCATCCTCCCCCAAAATAGGGCTTTCATTCTTTAAAAAAGCGCTCAACTTTGACCTGAACCCCCCAAAAGGGGGTAGATCACTGCCAGTTTTTAACTCTGTGCGTAGACCTCAGTCTCTTGGGAGTTGGCCAACAGCTGCTACTATTTTCTGCTGTAAATCAGGAAACCCAGCGTCCTTCCAATTGTAATAATAAAATTTAAGGTCTTATATATAATAATAAATGTTCATAAATGTACCAACCAAGCACGTACATAGATCAGCACAGGAAGCCCGACCTGAAACCATTTTGACTCCCCAACTGACCAAATGTTTTCTCTGCGAGGAGGGAGGGGGGTCAGGGAACCTTCCCATTGCCTCAGGAATTGGGAAATCACCATCTCAAAGGGTGACAAATTACCAGGAAAGGCAATCAGATAAGGTATTATCAGATAACCTGACAGACAGGAAAAGCAACAACATTCAAATTTCTGTTGTAGACCACCTTTTCTGTGATGTAGGTATAATGTTTGTGGGGGGTGGTCTTGGGTTACACCCCTTCTGTGATGTATGTATGATGTATGGAGGGGTGGTCTTGAGCTCCAGGGCAGGGAATTTAAAATGTTTATATAAGGGCAGGCACACCTTGGTTCTGGGTCCTCCTCCTTTCCTGCGTGTGAGGGGAGCACCCTGTTGCAACAGATCCATAAAGATCAGGCTTACTAGCTGCTTTGCTTCTCAATATTCTCTGGTTGGCCTCTGTTATTTTCTCCTACCAATAAGGAACCCACGTAAGGACTCTATATGGGCTCTTGGATGCACCATAAGGGAAAAAGGGCAGATTTCGTTTACAACACAAGATTATGGCGTTTTATCTCCTCTCCTGCTAATAAGTAGTTGGTAGATTGAGTCGAGCTGGAGCTAATTAAGGCTTTCTCCGAGACTTTCCAGGGCGTTCTCTAAAACTTTTAGCTTAAACTTATAGTAATTAAGAAAAAGATACCGAGCAATAAAATACTAGAACTGATAAAAGCTAATAAAAACTAATAAAAACCGCACAACTGACGGGGCGCTCAAATTGATGCTTCCTCTAACAATGCCATCTTGAAAAAAAGGCAGCTTTCCTCTTCAAGATTTTTACTGTCCCCCGCTGTGTACCCTAGGCAGTCTTGTGCCAAGAGGGAGGTCAACACAAGGTAGAGATTATCACCTGGGTGAGATTTCTCCTATGCTGGTTAAACATCTGCCTTACATCAGATAAAGATCCTCTCCTCAGTGAAGTTTTGTTAGACCCCTTTCTTTCCCCAGGGCTACAACAGTTTAACAAGAAGGTACAGCAACTTGGGCTGTTGGTGGAACTTTTGCGATCGATGTGCCTACCATCTGCCAAGGCTATAATAAAAACTAGGTTGTGGGATATTGAACGCAAGGAACTAACAGTAGCAGCAAAAAAAAAACCATGCTCCGCTCTTTATTTTCAACTTTCTTGGGCACATGAAATTAACCACAATTACCTTGAATTTCTGCTACTCAAGAAAGAAGGGCATTTTCGCTGGCCAGGTTTAAGTCAAATCCCTCCAACCTCCTGTGGGCAAGGTTCTCAGGCAGGGTGGAAGGAGAAAGAACTTGCCCATGTGAAGACCTCCTGGTGGAAACCCTCACACATATGGTTCTCAATTGTAAACTATATGCTGATCTCCGTCAGCAATTTCTAGATCAACTCTGTACAGTATCCCCAAATGGAAACCAGAGTCGGAGGTCATACATTTTCTATTACTGGGGAATGATCAGGAGCTCATCAAGTTAGTGGCTAAATATCTCTGTTTGGTTTTTTGTCATCGAAATAGACTGCCGACGTCTGATCTCCCTGGAGACCTAGAGATGTGAGGATAGACTGCTCTGCCTATTTTCTTTTAGCAAATGTTTTGTGCCACTGGGGAAGTGGTGATTCTGTACTGATTTGTTTTGGGATGTTTGCATGTGATGACAGTAAAAGGTTTGATGATGATACGGGCAATCATGATGATGACTGCGGCGGTGGGAACAGTGGAGTGGGCAGATTGCCACCTCTTGCACTTCTGCCACCTGAGGCAAGCGCTTCACCCTGGCCCAGGCATTAGGTGGGGTGAAGGGGAAGCCCCTTGGGCAGTGGCCCCACAGCCACCCTGCCACCTCCGCCACTGTCCTCCGTGTTGTTTTCCGGTGAGATCTTACCCTAATCACACAAGATCTTGTGGTGTGCTCCAGTTCTCGCCCAAAATTGGTGCTCATGGCACTGCTACTTCTCTGCCGGTGGTGAAGGTGGCACGGCAAGTGGTGCAGGTTGCAGTCCCTATTTTCCAGGGATGTCCCTGATTTAGAGAAGCCGTCCCGGTTTCTGATTTGATCCCAGAATGTCCCGCTTTTTCTTGGGATGTTCCTATTTTCATCAGAGATAGGTTGGAGGGTATAGAGTTATCTGACCCCCAAGCCATCTGAAGGCAATCCTGTATAGGGATGTTTGTTTTCTCAATGTTCAATGTTGTATTCTGGGTTTTTTTATATTAGAAACCACCCAGAGTGGCTTGGGCATCCCAGTTAGATGTGTGGAGTATAAATAGTAAAATTAGCCTTATGGAATGAGACGTCTCTATTTTCATTGGGGAAATGTTGGAAGAGTTGCGGGCAGGGTGGGGCCGCACCTGCTGTTTTATTTATTTATTTATTTATTTTAATCATTTTTTAATCATTTTTATTGGGGTTTTTTTAAAAAAAACCACAATATCTATAATCATTACATTACATTCAGATTTCAATTTCCCCCCTTCCCTCAACTTACGTCCCTGGTTTATTACATCTCATATTATATTCTGCTGTTTATATATACTTCCATATTGTCATACTATTAAGTTTCCTGTTTTGTGTAAATAAAATTGCAAACATTTATTTAAATCCTGCCAATGACTCTGGTTTTTTGTTGTTGTTGTTGTTGTTGTTTCTGCAGATATGATGTGAAAGGTTCCCATTCTTTTTCAAAGTCACTATTGTCTTTCCCCCTCGCAGTTTGTCTGTTAGCTTTGCCAAGAGTTGGCAAGGCACCTCCTTGTTTTACCTCTAACTGCGAAATGGGATGAGCCACCCCTGGTACCAGACATTCTCTGGTAATCAAGTATTTTATTGTGCAAGAAGAATCAACTCTACCTGGAGAGTGTAGGGTTGTTGAACCATCATCATTTTTTATTATGCCAGAGAGTCCACCGTCCTTGTTCTCTGCTAACTCCGAGCAAATTATATAACCCAATAATTTTTTTTTTGCTAGTACTAATTCTGTTCCAATGGAATGCTGACTCTTTTTTCCTCGTTTAAGTGAGTAGTCATGATGCCCTTTGCCTGGGAGGTCAGAGATCTACTGGGCTAAGTACATATCCTTTACACAAAAGTTGACAGCTCCACTGGGCGTGCTGGAGCACCAGAGCCACAGTCTCGCTCCTGTGATTGGCAGCCTCTTTCAAAATCTTGAGGCCTACAACAGAGGACCTCTCTCACATAGCAAGGTGCAGCAGAAGATGAAGGGAGTTTGGGTGTTGCTCCTGGCAATCTGTTTTGCCAGCTCCGTTGTGGAGGCAGGTGAGTGGCGGCCTAGGGTGAGGAGAAGGTTGTGTTGTGGGAAATGGGGGGGCAGCCCCAGGATTTTGAGACAGCCAAGAAGCAATAATGAAGAAGGATGTGCCTTTGAGTATGTGCATCATGACTTTCCTTTACCTTGGAAGTCGAACGGAATTCATTCCGGAAGTCCGTTGGACCTCCAAAATGTCCAGAAACCGAAGCGCAGCTTCCAAAAGAACGTTCGGAAAACCGGAACCCTCACGTCTGGATTTCGATCGTTCGGGAGCCAATTTGTTTGAGAGCCAGGGTATGACTGTATATCATCACAACCATCCCAGGTCATTTGCTGGGAAAGGCTTCCAATGTCTCATGTTTGCCAGCAGATCTGGAGAACCTGTGGTCCTCCATATCTTGTGGGGCTCCATCTTCCACCATCTCTGAGCATTCACCATCCTGGCTAGGGCAAAGGGGAGTCCATTAACATCTGGAGGGCCAATTGTTTAATCTGCAGGGCCATTGTTTGATAGAATAAGCTCAGCTACAGCCCTTATCTCAGAGAACAATGCTTCTGGCTAGACAGGCGCCTCTGTTCTTACTGAGCCACCTTCAAGGCTTCTGGGTCTGCCTAAAATAAAGGCTGGAGGCTCAAGGCATGTAGGGAGTCTTCTGTTGCTTTTTGTGACTTTGGAAGCTGAAGAGTCAGCCAGGCACTCATTGTTAAATAATAATCAAATGGAGGCTAATCTCTCTGTGTGTTTATTTGCAATATACATCAGTCATAAACAGTGATTTATATACAGCTGTTTTATTTATCCTGCCCAGAAGCACCAAATTTCTATTTAATGACATTTAACTTTTAAGTTGTTTCAGGTTTTAAAGAAACTCATGGAGGGCTTTGGAGAGACTTGTTGTAATAATATGGATTGGACAGTGACGGCTCATCAGGACTTCCTTTTGAGACATGTTACTAGGCACAGATCTGTGCTTTAAAACCCATGTTGTAGTGGTTTGTTTACTTTATTTGTCCCGGCACTTTCCCCGATAAAACCAGCATTTTACTGTTGAATCAGAGCAAACGGCAATCAGGTTTTCTGTATGAGCCCTGAGATTGGTTCAAAATGCCCTTGATGGAAGGAAGATGTGCTGGGTGATTTTGTGCTTGGTTGTTTCATGGCATTTTGCTCTATAGGTTGATATCCTGAGAATTTTAAATTTATTTTTCAAACCATAGTCAGAATATTAAAAAGATGGTGGTTATAAATTATTATTTATGCCCCGTCCATCTGGCTGGGTTTCCCCAGCCACTCTGGGTGGCTTCCAGAATATTAAAATACAATAGTCCATTAAACATTAAGAGCTTCCCTAAACAGGGCTGCCTTCAGATGTCTTCTAAAAATCTGGTACAGTGGTACCTCGGGTTAAGAACTTAATTCTTTCTGGAGGTCCGTTCTTAACCTGAAACTTTTCTTAACCTGAAGCACCACTTTAGCTAATGGGGGCCTCCCGCTGCCACCATGCCACCACTGCACAATTTCTGTTCTCATCCTGAAGCAAAGTTCTTAACCCAAGGTACTATTTCTGGGTTAGCGGAGTCTGTAACCTGAAGTGTCTGTAACCTGACATACCACTGTAGTTATTTTTCTCTTTGACGTCTGATGGGAGGGCGTTCCACATGGCAGGTGCCACTACCGAGAAGGCCCTCTGCCTGGTTCCCTGTAACTTGGCTTCTCGCAGTGAGGAAACCGCCAGAAGGCCCTCGGCGCTGGACCAATACAATATGATTGTGTTTATGCTTCTGTGTGTATTCTGTCATAAGGATGGTGGCTGTTCCCACTTTTCACTGTTTTTAGCCAATGCGTGAAGTCAGAGCTATGATTGATAGGTGAGTTGCTTGGACACTGGGCATTAGGAATCTGTGGGGACCCAAAGAGCTGCGATTCTCCCTCCCCTTTAGTACACTTTCCCATATCTGCCTTATTTCCTAGCAGTCCTTGCAATTTCCATAGTCTGGCCTGTGATTTGAAAGAGGGGCACCCAAGGGAAGTTGCCCCACTGCGACACAACAACCTGCAGGGTTCCCACTTCTTAAGAATCCACTGAACTTACTGTACACTGGTATACTTGGTTAATTCAGAATTACCATATTGTTCGCTCTATAAGACGCACCAGACCATAAGACGCACCTAGTTTTTGGAGGAGGAAAACAAGAAAAAAAAATATTCTGAATCCCAGAAGCCAGAACAGCAAGAGGGATCTGGCTTCTGGGATAGCCTCTTGCTGTTCTGGCTTCTGGGATAGCCACCGAAGCCTCTTCAGGGCAGCGGGATGAAGGCTTCCCCTGCCCGGGAGAGGCTGCACACGGCGAAGCCAGATGCCAGGACAGCAAGCGGGATCGCTGGGCAGCGGGAGGAAGGCTCCCCCAAGAGCCGCTCTCCCTTTAAAGAGCCGCACGGAGCGCGTGTGCGGCTCTTGGGGGCTTTTCCCCGAGGAGGGAGAAGGGACTGATGGGCTGCCCTTCTCCCTCCTCAGGAAAAAGCCCCCAAGAGCCGCAGACACACTCCACACGGCTCTTTAAAGGGAGTGCTGAGCAGAGCCTCCCGCCTGCATTCGCTCCATAAGACGCACACACATTTCCCCTTACTTTTTAGGAGGGGAAAAGTGCGTCTTATAGAGCAAAAAATACAGTATGTTTATTTGAGTTTCATGGGGCTTGCTCCCAGGTAAGCTGGTACAAGATGGCAGACTCAGCTTCAGCATTAGGGCTGGAACTGGGCAGAACAGGGTTATTGTGCCTTTAAAAACCGTATCTCCACATTCAGAACCAGTGGGACATAGCTGGCTTTCCTTGGTCCAGGCGGGAGCAGCAGCAGTGGCAGAACTGTTATGAGTTGGGGGTGTCAAGCTGCGTGCCAGACCCCACTTTCCCCTAGATCTGGGTTCCAGGTCCTTCTAATCCCTGGATCCATGAAGTGTTAAAAGTTAATCAAGCAAAACTAGCTTCTTGAGGAGGACGAAATAAGCTCCGTGTGAGTCAGCAGATGAGGGGGGCCACTTCTTCAGCAGATAACGCCACAGATGAGTTGAGTTATGTAAGCCAGAAGCCAATTTCTGCTGGAAACCAAGGCTGAGGTTAGGGGAGAAACAAGACCCTTTTAGGGTCTTGATGCTGTGAACCCTTCCATCAGGCTGGGGATATGTGTTTCAAAAAAAAACATATATCATAAAGACACCACAGTCTCCGCTGTGCCTCATTCCGCTCAGAGACTGGGGTGCTGTGTAACAGTACCAGAACTCCTAGAGACCAATGTACTTTCAGCCCCCACCCATAAAATATTTGAGGGGCCTAGAGGGCATTGATGGGCATTGCCATTCAAATGGTGTGCCTGCAACACATCATGTGATTGATTATGTGCGGCAGGTCTTACCTGGGCCCTGCCAATACTTTATTCAAGTCGGCAACCCTGAACAGTACAGTGGTACCTTGGTTCCTGAGCGGCTTGGCTCCCGAACAAATCGGCTCCTGAACGCCACAAATCCAGAAGTTTGCGAACGTTTTCCAGAAGCTGAATGTCCGACGCGGCTTCCGCTTGAGTGCAGGAAGCTCCTGCAGCCAATCGGAAACCACACCTTGGTTTTCAAAGGGTTTCGGGAGACGAACGGACTTCAGGAACGGATGAAGTTCAACAACCAAGGTACAACTGTACTAGTTATAGCGCAGGGTACCATTCCTTCAATGTAAAGCTGTGTTCTATACAGCCTACCTTGGAAGTCGAACGGAATCAATTCCAGAAGTCTGTTCGACTTCCAAAACGTTAGGAAACCAAAGCACAGCTTCTGATTGGCTGCAGGAAGCTGCTGCAGCCAATCAGAAGCCACAGAAGCCCCGTCAGACATTCGACTTCCAAAAATAGTTTGCAAACTGGAACTATCACTTCCAGGTTTGCGGCGTTTGGGAGCCAAAACGTCTTATTATCAAGGCGTTCAGGATCCAAGGTGTTGGGAGGGCAGAGAAGGCTCGCCACACATAATGGATCACATGATGTGGTACTCACACAACATTTGAATGGCAATACCCATCAACTCCCTAGCAAACACTCCCTAGCTGGTATCAAATCGGCTTTGTAGAAATCTGTGGTGCAATTGCATTTTGAATGCTGCTCAATCATACCTGAGATTGAGGCACAGAAATTATGAATTACCCCTACGCCCATCTTCTATCTTGTAGATGTTAGCTGGAGAGTAAAAGGGAATGAAGAAGAAAGAGGTGAAATGGATACAACAGAAAGACCAGGCAGGATTCAGCTCACAGCTCAAGAAACCAGCAAAAGTGGGAATAACTTTCTCAATATCGAAAAAAGGATGGGAAATGTAGAGGAAAGGGGTGCTCCAAAACAGACAAGCGGATCTCCCGACACAACCACAGAAGAGACCACGACCAGCAGCTCGCCAGCCAGGCCTGCCTCCATTCCCACAACAACCAAAACCAGAGAAGACAACAATAATATGCCCTCGCTGGCCACAGCTCCCGCCACTGAAGCAACAGGCACCACAAAGGAGACGACCGCAGCAACCAAAAAGGAGAACACCGCCGCCACCTTACCGTTGACAGCTACCAACAGTCCCGCAACAACAACTAAGGCCTCGCCTATCACGACTACCACAGCTACCACAACCATCACCACATCATTGCCGGTCACGATTGCCACCACACCAACAACCACAACAACAACAACCTGCTATCCGACTACGATTACCAACATTCCCACAACGACCTCAATGACCACAACTACCGCCACTCCCACAACCACCAGCACTGACTCGCCTGTCACGACCACCGCCACTCCCACAACCACCAGCACTGACTCGCCTGTCACGATGACCGCCACTCTGACAACCACCCCCACTGAATCGCCTGTCACAGGTACCGCCACTCCAACCACCAGCAGCACTGACTCGCCTGTCACCACTACCGCCACTCCCACAACCACCAGCACTGACTCGCCTGTCACGACTACCGCCAATCCCACAACCACCAGCACTGACTCGCCTGTCACGATGACCGCCACTCTGACAACCACCCCCACTGAATCGCCTGTCACAGGTACCGCCACTCCAACCACCAGCAGCACTGACTCGCCTGTCACCACTACCGCCACTCCCACAACCACCAGCACTGACTCGCCTGTCACGACTACCGCCAATCCCACAACCACCAGCACTGACTCGCCTGTCACGATGACCGCCACTCTGACAACCACCCCCACTGAATCGCCTGTCACAGTACCGCCACTCCAACCACCAGCAGCACTGACTCGCCTGTCACCACTACCGCCACTCCCACAACCACCAGCACTGACTCGCCTGTCACGACTACCGCCAATCCCACAACCACCAGCACTGACTCGCCTGTCACGATGACCGCCACTCTGACAACCACCCCCACTGAATCGCCTGTCACAGGTACCGCCACTCCAACCACCAGCAGCACTGACTCGCCTGTCACCACTACCGCCACTCCCACAACCACCAGCACTGACTCGCCTGTCACGACTACCGCCAATCCCACAACCACCAGCACTGACTCGCCTGTCACGATGACCGCCACTCTGACAACCACCCCCACTGAATCGCCTGTCACAGGTACCGCCACTCCAAACCACCAGCAGCACTGACTTGCCTGTCACCACTACCGCCACTCCCACAACCACCAGCACTGACTCGCCTGTCACGACTACCGCCAATCCCCACAACCACCAGCACTGACTCGCCTGTCACTATTACAGCCACTCCCACAACCACCAGCACTGACTCGCCGGCCACGACTACCGCCACTCCCACAACCACCAGCACGGACTCGCCTGTCACAACGACCACCACTCCCACAACCACCAGCACTGCTACTCCCACCACCAGCACCACTGACTCACCAGGCACGAACTACTGCCACTCCCACAACCACCAGCACTGACTCACCTGTCACAACGACCACCACTCCCACAACCACCAGCACTGACTCGCCTGTCACAACGACCGCCACTCCCACAACCACCAGCACTGACTCTCCTGTCACGACTACCGCCACTCCCCACAACCACGAGCACTGACTCGCCTGTCACGACAACCGCCACTCCCACAACCACCAGCACTGACTCGCCTGTCACAACGACCGCCACTCCCACAACCACCAGCACTGACTCGCCTGTCACGATGACCGCCACTCCGACAACCACCACCACTGAATCGCTGTCACAGGTACCGCCACTCCCACCACCACCAGCACTGACTCGCCTGTCACCACAACCACCAGCACTGACTCGCCCTGGTCACTACTACCGCCACTCCCACAACCACCAGCACTGACTTTCCTGTCACGACTACCGCCACTCCCACAACCACCAGCAC